TGGTGGAAGGCGCCATGTAGGGACAAACAGGGCAACAATGCGGAATCTTCTATGAAGTTCAGGAAACACTTATATTAATGATTACAAATTTCAAATTAATTATAAACACTTACATTTTTTTAATGTCCGTTAGTCCATGGCTTGTAAATTTCATCTGGTCTTGGTCTTGTTAATGAAAATCATTTTTTATTCTCGCCATATTTTTATTTTACGGAAACTATTTTTGTGCGTTAATCGTCTCGTCGTCGTTACGGGAAAAAGGGGCGTCAACGAAATATTTTCGTCATCTTCCTGGTTATTTAACCAGTTTAAGTCAGAACCCCAACAATTTTGGTTGATTAGCCTTTTTCTTTTATATTTCCCCTTGCAATTTTTTCCACTAATTGAAATGTCTTTAAATACTCATTAACAAGAATTCAACACATTGTAGTAAACAGATAAATGGAGGCAGAAGATGTCTTTTAGTCATTAATGATCTTCCAATCCAGGCACCGTTTCATTCACAACACCTGTCCCATCAACCAGGAATCAGAAATACTTTAATAATCCCAGGGAGAAATTACTTTAGTTACATTCCTCCATCTGTAATAGAGGACTATAGGACCAGTTTGCTAGAACACAATTTCATACAATATATATAATTAGGGGGTCCTTGGAAAACGTTGAAACGTTGCCTTAGACTCAACAGAAAAAAATAAATGGTCAACCTTTTATCATGGATCCTTTGGTTTTTCCTTCCCTCTCTATGTGTTTAGAGTTTAAGAAGTTCCTGCAGAGGAAGTCCAACTCCATGTACAACTTTGAGCAGCCGGTCATTATGAAGGTAAGCCCCCTCCTTCCTGTTAAGGAAACCAAACTCAGCAGTGAGGTAACGCACCGCGCCTTTTCCCCTGCAGGCGTTCGAGCACCTGCAGCAGCTGGAGCTCATCCAACCGGCCGACAGCTCCTCGGCCAAAACCCAGAGGGAGTACCAGCTGATGAGGCTCATGCTGGACCACAGTCAGATCATGGAGGCGCTGCAGAAGTACCCTCAGTGCCCCACCGACCTCAAGCAGTGGGCCACATCTGCTTTCGCTTAGACTCTGGATGTCATGTGCTTTGCTGCCATGAGTTTGAATGTTTCAAAATAAATTATTGAATAAAAAAAACATTTTTTTTTCTTTTTTTATAGATGTTAATGAGCCTTCAATAATGTTCTGAGCATTTAAAGATGCGCTCTGCTGCCACCTAGTGGTGTTTATATGGAAACAGTTCAGTTTCTTTTTTTTAAAGCGTTATTACCTCTGAAAATCATGTCCAGTGACATCAGTTCCCTTCAGGTATGGAAGAGAATCATTACCATATTTAAAATGAAAAAGCATTTTCAGAAATGCTTTTCATTTTACGAAAGCCCGGTCAGCAAGGACCGGAGGAAGAGCGACCGCTGGCGTGCCCGCCGCTCAGAATGCTTTTTCGTTTTGGAGTTGTGGACAGTACTTTGCTGGCAGACCATGAAAATGAAAAAGCAATGTCCGCTATTTTCTCTTTGATTATGACATAAAATGTGCAGTCTTGAAGAAGAAAATGCAAATAGGATGATCGATTACTAATTTCATTTATGAGTAATGCAGCAACATTCTTAAAAAAAAAAAAGAAGCATTTCTGGAAATGCTTTTTCATTTTCAAATTTTACATTTCAAATTGAATTTTGGTATGTATTTGCTGAGGTACATTTTGAAAAATAAATCTCAAATGTCTTTTTTTTTATTTTAATTAAGTAAAATGATGAGCAGTCTTGAAGAAGAAAATGCAAATAGGATGATTGATAACTAATTTCATTTATGAGTAATGCAGCAACATTCTTAAAATGAAAAAGCATTTCTGAAAATGCTTTTTCATTTTCAAATTTTACATTTCAAATTGAATTTTGGTATGTATTTGCTGGGGTACATTTTGAAAAATAAATCTCAAATGTCTTTTTTTTATTTTAATTAAAATGATGAGCAGTCTTGAAGAAGAAAATGAAAATGCAAATAGGATGATTGATTACTAATTTCATTTATGAGTAATGCAGCCACATTCTTAAAATGAAAAAGCATTTCTGAAAATGCTTTATCTTCAAATTTTACATTTCAAAATGAATTTTGGTATGTATTTGCTGCGGTACATTTTGAAAAATAAATCTTTAATGTCTTTTTTTTTATTTTAATTAAGTAAAATGATGAGCAGACTTGAAGAAGAAAATGAAAATTCAAATAGAATGATTGATTACTAATTTATGAGTCAAATAATGCAGCCACATTCTTAAATTGAAAAAGCATTTCTGAAAATGCTTTATCTTCAAATTTTACATTTCAAAATGAATTTTGGTATGTATTTGCTGGGGTACATTTTGAAAAATAAATCTCAAATGTCTTTTTTTCATTTTAATTAAGTAAATGATGAGCAGTCTTGAAGAAGAAAATGAAAATGCAAATAGGATGATTGATTACTAATTTATGAGTCAAATAATGCAGCCACATTCTTAAATTGAAAAAGCATTCCTGAAAATGCTTTATCTTCAAATTTTACATTTCAAAATGAATTTTGGTATGTATTTGCTGGGGTACATTTTGAAAAATAAATCTTAAAATGTCTTTTTTTCATTTTAATTATTAGTACCGGTAAAATGATGAGCAGACTTGAAGAAGAAAATGAAAATGCAAATAGAATGATTGATTACTAATTTATGAGTCAAACAAAGCAGCCACATTCTTAAAATGGAAAAAGCATTTCTGAAAATGCTTTTTCATTTTAAATATGGTAACGATTCGCATCCATAGTCAGGTGCCTCCCGAGGAGTCCTCTGTCCTTCCACATGAAATAATCCAAGTTCAGCTGCTCTGAAGGTGTTTAAGAACATTTTAGAACGTCTGAAGATTAAGGATCACAGCAGACGGGTCAGGGAATACAAATGCAAACTGGAAAAACAATCTAGTAATAAGTAAACATTACTCAAATTAAGTATATTTACCCTTAATTTGAGCAGGTAAATGAAATGATTTGCAAAAGGAATGAGTATTTTTACTCCTAAAATAAGATATTTAGATAAAATGCACTTGAACTAAGACAATATAATTGTGTTTTCTTATTTTAAGTGTAAATTGTCTTGTTCCATTGGCAAAATTTCTCTTTTACATTCTGAATTCCAGAACAAATGCACGTATTTTAAGCAAAAGTGACTTATCTAGATTTCGATTTTTTTCCAGTGCAGGCCACACTTTTCAGATTAGCCAAAGTACTCCACCTTAAAATTAAAAACTTTGTGTTGGTTGAACATGACTTCATTAAATAGGAAACAAACTCAGTTGTTGATTCTGCAAAACACTTCAAAATAAATAAAAAAATGATTTATTTAAACCCTTTAGCCTGACTAAACAAATGCATTAAAATAATAGCTTGGATGTAAGGGTGAGATTAAGAAAATATGAAATGTTTAAACAGTAAATCTGTATAAAATAAGTTTAATTAAAGGTTAAAAGGAACTCATGTAAATGGGTGTTTAACCAAATCTTTCTAAATACTAATTTATTCCACTTTTAGTTTTCAGACAAATCAATTAGAGACACAAAAAGACAGAAGAAAGGTTCACAATCTAAAAACACATTTATTTACATCATGTGGATCACTTCAGCTGATAAAAACCATGGTCTGCTAACGTTGGCAGAGAGCCACAGCGCTGATCGGGGATCAGTCATCTCCTCTGGGATGTTTCCAGGGTTCCTACGTCGCTTTTCTCTACTTCCTCTCAACAATCCAGCTTTTTATGTTTTCTATCTTCACATTATTTCATCAGCACCAAGAAATCTACAGTCACAGCTTTCTTAACCTTTCTTGACCGAAATCAAAAACCCTGAACCTCAGACGCCATCGCCAGAGTGGGTCACAGCAGATCTCAGCTCAGCGCTGCGGCTCCAGAGGCTGGAGAAATGAAAAACAGCTGTAGTGTTTGTGTTTCTGTGGTCACCCAGGTTCAATGTTTCCTCTAAAATCCTGACAGGTGGGGAAAGAAAAGGAGATCAAGGCTGGAATGAAACAGGGTTCCTACTCATCTTTCTTTTCAGGCTATTTTTACCAGATATTTTGAGGTGAAATGGTAAAAAAGTTCATTTATTGCCTGGGCTTTAGTGCGGCTTTCTACCTAGAAATAAGATAATGAGCTTGTTTTACGATTATTTCCTTTTAAAAGAAGTAAAGCTGGAATTTTCTTAGTAGTAAAGCTAAAATAGGAAATAGAAATTTTTGTTGTGAAATCTGAATCCCATTTTTTTTATTGTTTTCTTTTAATTACAGTTTTGATATCGCATATAAAGTCTTTCCATAGTGGATTCTTACTTTTGCTACATTTATTGTTGTATATTTTTCTTTCCCAATATGTTTTACTGTATTCATTTTAAGTAATTTGTGGTTTTTATCTGTGAAAAGCGCTTTATAAATACATTTTATTCACTTATAATAAGAACGTGCTGGTATAAATCAATCGGTGAGATTATAAAAACTATTTCATTAAAATTATGGTACATTTTTTCCCATCAAGTCATGATAAAATATCTCAGAATTTATATTAGTTTAAAGCCGTATGCTTATTTTCTTTTTGTTTTTTGCTTTTTTAAGATTTAGATTATCTTAAAAAAATGATCTGTCCTGCTTCTGTTTATTTGGACGGGTTTCCTAAGATTATTTGAGAAAAAAAATCAGAAGTAAACTCATGAAAATTATCAAATTATCTATAAACACCATTTAGTCATAGTCAGGTTTTAAATTATGTAGTTAAAATATAATTTATTTTCTTGTCTTAAGAAAAGAATATTGACACAATAATCCCTAAAATGAGGCATTTAATCATCTTATTGTGTTTATTCACAAGATAAAAGGCTCAAACACCTATTTTAACCCAATAATAATCCAGATTATTGAAAAACGGACAAGATTATTAGTTAGTTTCCGCCCTGTGTAGGAACCCTGGAAATACTGGTGGTAGATGACTGTAGTTTCACATTAGGAAGTATTGCAATGGCTCTTTGACAACAAAAGTCAGGGTAACTAAACAGCCTCCTAGAGGAACTCCTCAGGCTGAATGTTGTTTCCTTTCAATTGAATGGCTTCACAAACGTATGCTATGTTAAAGAAAAGGTTTAGCATAGTAACAGGGCAACTTTCACACACAAAGTGAATGTAGAGGAAACACTGAAGTTCAACACACACTTAGAAAGATTCAGCTCAGAGTATATAGTCGAGAACGGGTAGTTATGTCTGTACAGGTCATAGACTGCTTAAAATAGTGGGAGGCAACAAGACACAAATGTTTCACGGGTAGTTTATATGCACAGCAATGTGAGGTGCTGGGCTGGAGAAAGGTCGCCGTGGGAAACGGTAAAAGCCTGCACGCTCAGAAAGCCGTTAGTACGCCTTTATGTGGCAGATTGAACAAGACCTGAGGGAAACCGAGGGGTTTGTTTGGCAAAATGGCAAACTATTTCATCCAGATTGCTTTAATTAAGCTTTTTTTGATCAACTGAATTGCTCCTTTTAACTGTACTTCTGTTTGTTGCATAAACGAACAACCAGGCGGGTTGCTTTTACCGTTTCCTACAGGACAGGGCACAATCACACGACACCAGCCGAATACGAGGCCCTCTAAGTGTTACACAGGGCCAGGCTCAATCCATCAAAGTACACACTTTATATATATTCATATATATATATATATATAGATATTTATATAGAATCCAGGAGTCTGTAGAACATTCATTTTCGGTCGTTTGTCCATAGACTGAATAGAAAGAAGCATGTTATAGTTTATATCTATTGTTTTTTTTTTTTTTTTGAATTAATGAAAATATTTCCTGAATTAGATCCCACCCACAACCCCATAATAACGACGACAAACATCCGCAAAACGTGCCAACTCCTCGTGTCTCTATCTGGAGTTGCACCTGAGCTCTGATCCCCGAAACCTCAGACCAGAAAAACAAAACAATAAAAATAAATACGACATATCAATATGTAAGGTCACGGATTAAAAAATAATAAAAGAAAGAAGGGGACACAAATTAAAATGCTACAAGGTATTTGTGTGTTTGTGTATTGAAAGCCACTCCTGCAGCAGATCCTACAGAAGCGTAGGGTAAAGTTTGCGGCACTGGTTGCATATAAACTCGCTAGAACTTAGAAGAGCATAGTACTGAATCCCTGAATGGTGTTTATCAGCTGGGGTCGGTTTCCTGATCGCAGTTTCAGTTGCTCCTCTGTTTTTTTTTTATTTTTACAGCGGTTAAAAATCCAAATTGGCTCAAATACTGCGTGACTTTTTGCATTTTACGACTCTATGATGTTGGTTTCTGGGCTATGGCAGTGAAAACGAGGAAACTTCTTTCTAACTTCATTTTTTTTTTCTGATGGAAGCTATCCGTCGCCTTTTTACGTTTCTTCCTGATTTTGGTTTGTTTGCCACTCTTCTACCCCAAAAAGAAATCCCTGCGAGTGAGGTAGTGCTTATTGAAGGGCTGCTGGAGGTTTTTCGTTTCATTTTCAGCGATTCTCATCCCTGACCTTTGATGAAAAGCTGCGTTTCTACGGCAGCGGCAGAGAGAGGAGGCGGCGGATGCCGTTCTCTTGCTACAGTGTGTAAATTAAGGTGATGGCTTTGACTTCCTTCAGGTTTGCTGCGTTGTTGCTGCGAGAAAAGCGTGTGCAGATGTTTGCATCTCAAGCTTACCGTTTCTACTTCGTTAATTTTTTAGTTAAAAAAGTTTTAGGGAAAAGTTCATCAAGTCAAACATAAATTAACTTAATTTGGGGCGTATGAAAAATATGTTTATACAAATTTGGAAAGTCTTCAATAAATCCCTACAGACGATTATTAGTTTTTACGGAGCCCCTAAAGGGACATGGAGGGGGAAAAAAAAGAACATTTGCGAGATCCTGCAATACCTTTGCGAGATCCCGCAATATCCCGCAATACTTTAGCAGGATCTCGCAATACTTTTGCGAGATCCCGCAATACTTTTGCGAGATCCCGCAAAACTTTTGTGAGATCTATTGCGGGATCTCGCAAAAGTTTTGCGGGATCTCGCAAAAGTATTGCAGGGTCTCGCAATACTTTTGCGAGATCCCGCAATTGTTTTACGAGATCTCGCAAAGGTATTGCAGGATCTCGCAAAAGTAAATTTTTTGCGAGATCTCGCATTACTTTTGCGAGATCCTTCAATACTTTTGCGAGATCCCGCAATACTTTTGCGAGATCCCGCAACACTTTAGCAGGATCTCGCAATACTTTTGCAAGATCCCGCGATTGTTTTAAGAGATCTCGCAAAGGTATTGCAGGATCTCGCAAAAGTTTATTTTTTGCGAGATCTCGCAAAAGTTTATTTTTTTGCGAGATCTCGCAATACTTTTGCGAGATCCCGCAATACTTTGGCGAGATCCCTTAATACTTTTGCGAGATCCCTTAATACTATTGCAGGATCTCGCAATACTTTTGTGAGATCCTGCAATTGTTTTACGAGATCTCGCAAAGGTATTGCAGGATCTCACAAAAGTTTATTTTTTGTGAGATCTCGCAATACTTTTGCGAGATCCCTTAATACTTTTGCGAGATCCCTTAATATTTTTGCAGGATCTCGCAATACTTTTGTGAGATCCCGCAATTGTTTTACGAGATCTCGCAAAGGTATTGCAGGATCTCGCAAAAGTTTATTTTTTGCGAGATCCCTTAATACTTTTGCGAGATCCCTTAATAATTTTGCAAGATCCCTTAAGACTTTTGCAGGATCTCGCAATACTTTTGTGAGATCCCGCAATTGTTTTACGAGATCTCGCAAAAGTATTGCGGGATCTCGCAAAAGTTTATTTTTTGCAAGATCTCGCAAAAGTTTATTTTTTGAGAGATCTCGCAAAAGTTTTGCGGGATCTCGCAAAAGATTATTATTTCCCTCCATGTCCTTTTAGGGGCTCCGTAAGTAAAAGTGTCCCCACTTTGCCATGGCCTGAAAAATGAACCAAACGTTGGCTTTCAGATGAAAGGAAGCTGTAATGCTGAGAGTCAAATTGTTTGAGGGAGACTTTAAAACTTAGAAACACTGTCCAAGCTATGAGTAGATTGTAAATAATTTAGATAAATACCCTCTTATAGGAAATTAAAGGCATTTATATCCATGATGAGTTTAAGAAAACCTAAAGCTGTATACAATGACTAAATTGGCTCTTTTTTTACCGTTACAAAACAGCGTTTTATTAAAACTCAAAGCATGATCCTCTAAGAGAAGTTTCCTCATATTTCACTCTTGATGTTTGCAAACCGCCTCACTGGAAACCGCCCCGAAGCTTGAGGAGAGACTGCAGGTATGCCGGCACCAGTGTTCAACGTCCCTCAAAACGTCTAGTACATCCGTTTGGCCTGACATCGACGAGAGTAACTAATACAGACAGGTAGAAATGGCACCAGGATGGAGGAGGGAAGCTGGGGGGATTCTTCCTCGTCTTGCTTCGACTCACCGCTTCCTGGGAGCCGACTGAGAAGAAAGCATGGAAGAGGAACGGCTTTTGAATGAGCCGAGCGGCGAGCCGAAGAGAGAGGGAGGAATCGGTTTCGGGTCTGGGCGTGGCGAGTAGCAAAGATTCCTGAGGTGTATCAAAAAGACAGCGGAGACTCTTGATAGTACTAAAACCCCCGAAACGATAAAAGATGCGTGCGACTGAATCCGAAGCAAGCTGGCTCAGCTGACAGCACGCCAGGCTGGGAAACCGAATACTGAGCGGCTTGTCTTGTCTGTGTTTTTCTGGAGATTAATTCAGAAAAACGATAGAAAAGAAAAAAAAGGAGAAATAAACAACAGATATCCAGTTCTCAAACATCTAATTAACAAGAAAAGAAACCACTTTAAAAAGGGACAACTTCATGGATCTACCAACAAGTTCAAATGAACGGGAGCAGGGAGGGACAGCTGGCGGTTGGTGGGTCGTAGCGGTGAGCGGGGAGGATTGGAACAACGGTGTCCGTCTGAACTGAGGTATAGCCGGCTGAAGGAGGTTTATGGTTTGAAAATGGACCCCCTCCTCCGTTACAATGAGCTGATTACCAGGTGGTCCGGCTCCGTGATTCACTATGTACAGCAGCATTACACTATAAACATTCAGAAGCTGTTGCTTTGTTGGCAGAACGATCGTCCACAGAAGAAGAAGAACAGCAAACGCTTCAGGAGCCACGCGCTCGTCTTTTTTTTTAAAATCCTTTCTTCTTGTTTTGAAACATTAAAATGCGCTGAGAGTTCAGTGAAATTACTCCGTGTTCGTCTCGTGTGTGGATATAAAAACAATACATGATCAAACCAGGGTTTGTCTTTCTTTTTTTCCATCTCCAAGCATCGTCGTCCCACCTGGCGAGAGAGAAAAAAACCCTCCAAACATTAAAATCCTCAGGCACACGTATCAAAATGAGGCGGATCTCGACTTGATGCGGCGAGGAACCAAGAAGGAGAAAAGACCAACATAAAAAAAAAATAAAAAGGGGGAGGGAACAGGAAGCCGACCAACCAGGGTCGGACGTTTGTTTCCCCTCTGGGTCGACCGGCCGATCATAAGCTGGACTCCTTGGGCGGGAGGTCAACGTTCGTCACCATGGTGACCACAGTGACGATCTCCTCGGGTCCGATGATGGGGGCCTGGCGTTGCATTTGGCCGATGCGCTCCTCGACGCAGCCGGCGGACAGGCGGGCCTCGGCCTCGTGGTCCCAGCAGTCCTCGATGGTTTCGCACAGCATGGCCAGACCCTGCAGGACCGAACGACAACACAGGGGTCAGAGTTCACAGCGACATCTGCAGGGTTCACAGGCAGCCGTTCTGTGTGTCCAACAAGATTTATCATCATTCCTACATCTTTGGCTGAATCAAAACAAGAAATTCTGAGATTTTCTGAAATCAATCACTGATATAAAATAACATTAAAGGAAAAAAGAAATTAAAGGAACACTTTGAAAACACATCAGATCTCAATGGGGCAATAAATCCTGCTGTTTATTTATACTGATATGGCCTGGGTGATGTGTTAGGAACAAGAGGATGCCACATCATTTGATGGAAATGAAAATTATCAACCTACAGAGGGCTGGATTCAAAGACACCCCAAAAATTAAAGTGAAAAAATTATGCGGCAGGCTGGTCCATTTTGCTGAAATTGCCTTGCAGCAACTTAAAATGGTATTCAGTAATTTGTATGGCCCCCACGTGCGTGTATGCATGCCTGAGAAAGTCGGGGCATGCTACTAATGAGACGAAAGATGGCGTCCTGGGGTATCTCCTCCCAGATCTGGACCAGGGCATCACTGAGCTCCTGGACAGTCTGAGGTGCAACCTGACGGCGTCGGATGGAAACATAATTTCCCAGAGGTGTTCTACTGGATTTAGGTCAGGCGAGCGTACAGACCAATCAATGCTATCAATTCCTTCATCCTCCAGGAACTGCCTGCATACTCTCGCCACATGAGGCCGAGCATTGTTGTGCACCAGGAGGAACCCAGGACCCACTGCACCAGCATATGTTCTGACAATGGGTGCAAGGATTTCATCCCGACACCTAATGGCAGTCAGGGTGCCGTTGTCTAGCCTGTATAGGTCTGTGCGTCCCTCCATGGATATGCCTCCCCAGACCATCACTGACCCACCACCAAACGGGTCATGCTGAACGATGTTACAGGCAGCATAACGTTCTCCACGGCTTCTCCAGACTCTTTCACGTCTGTCACATGTGCTCAGGGTGAACCTGCTCTCATCTGTGAAAAGCACAGGGTGCCTGTGGCAGACTTGCCAATTCTGTGGCAAATGCCAATCAAGCCTCACGGTGCCGGGCAGTGAGCACAGGGCCCACTAGAGGACGTCGGGCCCTCAGGCCGTCCTCGTGGAGTCTGTTTCTGATTGTTTGGTCAGAGAACTTCACACCAGTGGCCTGCTGGAGGTCCTTTTGTAGGGCTCTGGCAGTGCTCCTCCTTGCAAAAAGGAGCAGATACCGGTCCTGCTGATGGGTTGTAGACCTTCTACGTCCCTGTGCAGCTCTGCTGGCGTAACTGCCTGTCTCCTGGAATCTCCTCCATGCTCTTGAGATTGTGCTGGGAGACACAGCAAACCTTCTGGCAATGGTATTGATGTGCCATCCTGGAGGAGTTCGACTCTGTGTGCAACCTCTGTAGGGTCCAGGTAGCGACTCATGCTAACAGTAGTGACAGTGACCCTAGCCAAATGCAAAACAGGTGGAAAAGGGTCAGAAAAGATGAGGAGGGGAAAAAATGTCATTGGCCTCCACCTGTAAAACAATTCCTGTTTTGATGGTCGTCTCGTTGTTGCCCCTCTAGTTCACCTGTTGTTAATTTCATTAACACCAAAGCAGCTGAAACTGATTAACAACCCCCTCTGCTACTTACCTGACCCAATCAATATCCCAGAAGTTTAATTAACTTGATGCTATACTCTGATTACACAGTGTTCCTTTAATGTTTTGAGGTTGTGGCAGCCCACTGCTGCCCAAAGGGGAAGGGTTAAATGCAGAGTTAATTTCTCCATCGTGAGATCAATAAAGTTCAACTTATTTTATATATATGTGTATATATAAAATAACATGTCTTCCTTCCATTAAACCTTCAACAGTGTTTCCCAACATTTAAATTTTCTGAGGCATTGAATGTAGGAGTTTGTTATCTGTAAGCAATAATCAACAAAATGACATGTAATTTTTGTTATATTTCAATATTTTATGCCATGGATAAAATATTTAAATGTTTTCCTCTATGAATCAATATATATAAATTTTGCTTTTTAAATGGGTATAGTTTCCAAATTTAAAACCATGTGACTTTCAGGTACGGTGGTGGCAGCAACATGCTGAGCAGCCGCTCGGTAAAACGAAGGCTACATTGGAGATGGACGCAGTGTGGTGCTGATGTAAGTCAATGATCTTAAAGGTAAAACATGTTCCAGAGCAGAAGCAGGCGTCTAAATATGAAGGCCACGACTTAAAAAAGTTGAATAGCATGCTCCTCTGTTTGGTTCCATGTAAATATAAAAAAATAAGCAACCGCCTGTCATACATCGTACATTAGAAGCGCGCAACTTTTCCACAAAAAGTGTTAAAACCTCTTCGATCAGAGATACAAATGGCCGACACCTCATTGTTTTCAAGCCTCACCGTGTGCTTCTGCCAGCAGTCTCTCAGGCAGGGCCGCAGCTTCTTGTGGACGACCACTTCCTGCATGTCCTCCAGAGACGGGTGCTGGCCCACCTCCTCCTCGAAGGGGAGCATGTACTCGTCCACGGGGCCTGTTAACGGGGGACAAAGGTCAAACACGGCTTCTCCAGCAGCAAGACAAGCAGGAGGAGGTCGGCTCTCACCGTCTGCGGCGGTACACCGGGACGCGAGCTCCCAGAGGACGAGGCCGAAGGCGTACATGTCGATTCGCAGGAAGGAGTCGCGTTGGAAGTTGATGGCGCCCTCCAGGACTTCGGGGGCCATGTAACGGCGGGTTCCGACCTGACGGATTAAAGGAAATGGGTCAAATGATTGTAGATTGAGCAGAAAGACAGATTAAACGCCAGGCGGAGTTAATCCCACCTGTCCGTGTGTGTCTCCTGATTTCCCCGCCTCAAACTTCAGCGCCAGGCCGAAGTCGGCGATGCAGGCCGTCAGGTTATTCTTCAGCAGCACGTTCTTACTCTTAATATCCCTGAGGTGAACAAATCAAAACACGTCTCTAGTTTTGCAGCGAGCGTGAGAGGATGGGATTCTCTGGATCAAGGCCGAACCTGTGAGCGATGGACGGCTTGTGTCCGTCCTTGTGTAGGGGGATGTCTTCGTGCAGGTAGGCCAGGCCGCGGGCCGCCGTCTGGGCGATGTGGCACAGCTCGTTCCAGGAAACCACGTTGGCCTTCAGGTAGTCCGTCAGGGAGCCCTGCACGTGCAAACAGAGAGATTCAGATTTTAAAAAGAGGCTCGGCATCATAGAGAGCCGGCAAAAAAAAGTTGGCTTGTTTTTTATCTGGAGATGCTCCCTAAACTTTGCTTATGTGGTCGAATATTCCAGCTTTTAAACTGTGCTTATCATCATTGTTTAGTAATCAGTTCATACCCTGTAGGGCTGCAACTAATGATTATTTTGCAAATGATTAATCTGTTTTTTACTTTTTCAATTAATAGATTAATAATCAACAGTAAAAGGTTCCTTAAAGAAGAGTTGTTATGAAATTAAACCAGGGGAAACTAAGACTTTTCCACTTAAGGGATTTTTGATAAAGCATATTGGCAGATGAGTTTTTTTTTATCTTAAATGTTAAATATTTATATATTTTTTACATTTTTAGTATGATTGCTACTCAAGGCGGGTCACCCTGTCAGCTAAATGCATGTTTTATAGCCTCTACACTCCAGTTAATTATTATTCAATTACTAAATTAGTTGGCAGTTATTTTAATAATCGATTAATCCGATTAATTGTTTCAGCTCAGAAATAATTAATCTGCAAACTTGGTGTCTAAAAAGGTTCAAATTTTCCATCTGCAGCCAAATATGTTTTTTTTTTATCATCAATCAAAGAAGAAACAAGGAAAACTGCAGGAACAATCAGATAAATAAAGATTAAAATTAAGTTTATCAAAACAAATTAGAAAATTTGAATACAAAATAAAAAATGAAATAAATAGAAAAAATAAAAGCAAAGTCAAATAAATTGAATAAGATAAGAAGTATTTTGATAGAAAATAACCATTATACCAATAGTAAAAATAAATTAAATATTTCAATCCTTTGAAAGTAAATTAATTAATTCTCATAAACATAAAAATAAACGTATTGAAAACACGCCCCCATAGAATCTGCTGTTTACTACTTTATTTTAACACTTACATTTATACATGAAAAATAAATAAATTAGATAAAATAAAAAAATGAAGGAAATTAGATTAGTTTGAAAGCACTGAAAGTTCACTATTTATATCATATATAATAAATAAGCAAAGATATTTCATGATAGTTTATTTTAAAAAAATACAATGAAAGTAAATTAACTTTAATACACTGAGCTTCAATATCCCGTGAATCAAAACAAATTTAGCTTTGATTTCAGAGTAAAAAACTCCCCCAAAAAAATAATTTCTTTTAACCAAAGATTGATGCAGGGATAGATCTGACCACTAGGGGGCAGGTGGCTCCTATAAGTGAAGCGATCAGCTCAGCCTGAGGATAAAAAGCACTCAGACTTTATGTTCTTGTTGCAGGTTTTTCCCCCTTCAAATTAACCATCAGTCATCTTCTCTTTGAATCCAGTCTTTAATATCCGCGTTTTGATTAACTGAGAGGATTAAAACTCGGGGAGTTTTGCAGGAAATTTAAAACAAGCCTCTGCATGCAGGCTTAACCACAGAAAGCTACTTGGATGCATCAAATATCAAGGAATAAATCAGCTGTGAAGAAGAAGGCAAACTGTGCAATCGGGGCTTCGGATGGGTTACAAAAACTCAAGTGTCCACAAGTTCTTAGGAGGCGAAAAATCACAACTTGCAGCTACGTTCCGGGGGGTTAAGTGGCGCTCTGACGGCTAAAACGTCTCACTGGAGCTCTACTACGACTTCTAGAAAAGAAACCTTTAATTTTTCATACCTTTATTCACGCAAGAAAGCCTGTTAAAAAATGCAGGTTTAGATCTCGAGTCAAGCGAGGTGCACAGAAATTGCTCTCCACTCGGTCAGTAAGAAGCCTAAAAACACACGGGCACTTGCAGCCCCTGAACGCAGCACAGACGCAGACGGAAATCACACTTGACCTAATGTGGGCTTCCCAAACATGGCCGTATGCCTGCGGCGTACCTTGTCGTGGTAGGCGGTGATGAGCCACAGCTCCAGGTCCAGGTTGTTGTTCCTCTTCTCCACGCCGATGAACTGGAGCACATTTTCGTGCTTCATGCCGCACACGCTGTAGATCTCATACTCGTTCTGCCAGGAGAGCTTATCCTGTGTGTGGAGGGGAGAGAGAAGATGCAGGCGTTAGCTTCACTCCTCTGCTCCCTCCTCACCTTTCTAGGCCCGGTCCAGATGAGTGATACCTGAATGGGGAAGATCTTCACAGCCACGTATTCGTTCAGCAGCTGGGCCTTCCACACGCAGCCGAAGCGCCCCCTGGCCTTCATCTCGATGAGCTGCAGCGGTTTCTGGCCCAGAACAGGAGAAGGAGGTGAAGGTCCTGGATCCTGTGGAGAAACGGTAGTGGAAGTGTTATTACTTTAGTTAAGACAGTGCAGGTGACTGGCCTCTTGGCTCAGAAACAACATGCCTGAGGAGCTTAAACCAACAGAAGCCTCCTTCACCTCTAGACGCTGCTTTAAAGTGATGATTCCCTCCTGTTCCTTTAGCTATTTTCAGCCTCTGTATCTTTATCGCTTCATGCTTCTACTGTTTGGACTGGTGGGAGTTTAGTACGGGAGTTGCCTGGATTTTAGTAATATCACATTGATATGTGCATTTATTTATTTATTTTTGGGTTTAATTGGCTGAGAGGAGGCTGCAGACCCAGCAGGATTTGGAACCATTTACTTCAAATTAAATCAAACCCCGGAGGGCGGCGTGAGCTCAAGTTTACTGAAGCCGAGCTGAGACAGGAAACCTGCCAGTTGGAAGACAACGAGGCGCACAAAGAAAGGTTAGAAATCCGCTGATAGAAATGTTTAAATTCAACCTCTTTGCAGAAGGTGCTGAAATTCATCCTGTGTTGGAGAAGCCTTATGCTTTTATTTTATTTATAAAAAACAGCAGTTTGTCTAATTGGTTTACAGCTTTAGGTAACCTTTACAAAAGCATGGATCCTTCATGCTTTTGATCCAAAGATTAAAAAAAAAATCTCATAAATCCAAAAAGGTTGTCAACCATTCCTAAATAAGAAGCTCTTTAGCTTGTTTTGCTGCAAATATAACCATATATGTTTATAAAGCAATCAGAAGAAAAGAAAAGCTTCATCCATGCAGTGTTTAACAAGTGCAAGTACTTGTTTTGATTTATGCCATGGAAAAAAACAAAAGAAAAATTAAATTAATTCATATTTATTGTTGCAGGTGATTTAAAAAAAATTTATAAATAAAAAATGTTTTGTATGATGCCAAAATTTTGGCTTCAGGGAGCTTTCGTAGTTGGATTATTAATCGAGCGGAGCAGTTCGGCAAGCGACATCATGGCTACCGGTGAGACAGGGAAATTAGTCCTGAAAAAAGGAATAAAATCCTCTGTTGTTTGGGACTGATTTGGGTTTTCTGCATCAGACGTTGCACCTACGGCTGAAAGGTGATGAAAACAAACCAGAAAAATACCAAACAACAACCAGAAATGTTTGTGGAAGCTAGCGTTAATTAGCAAGATGGTTGGGACTTCTCTAAGCAGTGTTGTATAAAGTACTGAGTACGGAGTCAAGTAAAAGTATAAGTACCTCTCCAAATTATTACTTTGGTAAAAGTCCAAGTCACCGACTGAAATGTTACTTGAGTAAAAGTCTTAAAGTACCAGAAATGGCTTGTACTTAAGTAGAAGAATTACTGTAAAAATAGATGCACTCAAGTAATGTAGTGAAAGGTATACGGTAATTAAAAAGTAGGTGTAGTTTGAATGATATGTTTTTACATTTTGGTAAACTTTGAAGGTTAAATTCACTTAAAATAATACAAACAACCAAGTGTAGGATAAATTTAGACTGGCTTTGCGAAACAGGCGTATCCTATTGGTGTTGATGAACAAGCCCAGACAAGACCTGACTTTCTAGTCAGTACTTGGGGTCAAAACATTTGTGTTTCTCTCGCTCATTTTTTATTTTTTTTTACTTAGTAACTAAACCAAACATTGAAAATGTATCGGAGTAAAAGTATGCAATTAAGTTCGTAAATGTAGTGAAGTAAGAGTGAAAGTTCTCAAAAAAATTTATACTCTTGGAAAGTATAAAGTACTCCAAAATATACTTAAGTACAGCAGTGAAGTATTATTACTTCGTTACTATACAACACTGTTTCGAATAGTAACAAAATTTTCACTCAGTGGCGATTAGAAAAAAAAATTGAATTAAAAATAAAAAAGCTAAGATTTTATTTTTAGGCCCTATTTTGATCTAACAAAGGGTGTGTTATCTCATCATGTCGAAATACCATAAACCTGTGTTTCCAGTTTATTTGTCATTAGATTCCTAAATTGTCTGAAGTCTTCTTGGAAAAAGGACCTTAAGGTTATTTAGTCATGGTTTTATTTAACGATGGGCGTTAAGCTCATTTTCCTCCCATATTGATGCTGTTTGTTTCCATATAATATTGAGTTAATCAGTTTTCCTCAAAATTGTTTCATCGAGATATTTAGTTTCTATACCTGATTAAAAATCAGCGGGGTCTGAATAAAGAAAATCATCAACCAGTAAAGGTCCGGAGACATTTTTATCTATAATCTGTCACTTTAAACAGAATTTAACACTGAAATACAATAAGGGTTTTTATGCATCCATGTTATACACTGAATTTTTAAATAAAAAAATGTATAAATCTACAGTGTTTATTTAAGTAGAGAACAACAATCGTTTGGTTTGGTATGTAGATACTTTCTCTGCTCTCTTTTTCTCATTGTCTTCTCCTTCTTTCCCATCGCCCAGGTTGCCACAGGTTTGCCTGCTGTGTCTAAAAGTAGCAGCAGCAGCAACCCAGACTGACAGCAGCTCATTGGCTAATTTATATAACGTGTAGCCTGGTCCCAGAAGCTCTGGAGGGATTTACCCTAATTAAAAGTAGAAGCGGCACAAGTGAAGTTAGACACTGTCGTCAGACAACATGCTGTAATTTATAAATGTTTTCAATCAGGTTGGGTCCGGATTAGCCAGCAGCAATGGCATAAATATCGGTTGCTTAAGGGCCAAAAAAACCTCTTAGGGGCCCCATCACTGACACCTGGTGGGTCCCCTACACAATTGTAGACTAGAACGTCTCTTTGCAGAGGTAATGGTGCGAAAAATTCCTCTTAAACCCACCAGATACTGAAGTAGCTGACCGGACTGGACCGTATTTATACCGCAACACATGGCAGATTTCAACATGATGGAGAGCCGTTTAAACATGACACCAATAGCAAAGCTGACAGTGGTACTTTTAATTACTATGTTAATAACTGTGTATAGTTCATTAGACGATTGGTAAAAAATACACTCATACAATATGTTTCAAACCGCAATAAAGATCTTAAAAGAATGATTATTTTATTTTTTACACTACGACTTGGAATTATGGGTAATCCAGAGCGTAGATTAAAACCATAACCGTTACGTACGATGTGTTAGCGACGATGGATAACAAAAAGAGGTACTAAAGCGGATTCCAGAGAAGATAAAGGAAAGAAGAGCTGCTGGAAGAACGCAAAAAAACTTCCCAAAATAAACACGTTCTCCAAAGATCCGAAGAGGGAGAGGTGGACGTCGCTGCTGCAAGAGTAAAGATTTGAGACAAGGAGATGAATGGAGAGAGCATGGGTGAGGAGGGGGGCTTTGAAGCTCATGGGGGTTTGATAGGCATCAAATGTGATCATATTCTACTGAGAATTGCATAATTGTATTTTCTTGGTCGTCTTATGGAACTGTTGCCGTATCCTGAACGTTTATCATGTGCTGTACTTCATATGGGGCTGTTAAGAAGCAATAAGATTTTCTGGAAAGTTCGGGTTCTAGAATGTGTGTGTATGATCCTTTTGTTTTTGAATTGTTTGTTACCTTTGTGGGTGTTCCCTTTTTAGAAGGGTTAATTGAGGAGGCGGGGACAAGAGTATATAGGTGGACTGTTGGCTGTAGTAAGGGGTCTGAGTATAACTATGCTCTGATGAAAGAGACCTAATAAATCACCTTTTGTGACCTGAATTTTTCCTTCCACACCAAACCTCGCAGAGCAACAGGGGCCCAGCCAGATAATGTTGCTTACGGGCCTATTGTTGTGTCGTTACGCCATTGGCCAGCAGGTGGGTCCGGATCCGGACAGCGGTCCGCTAATCCGTGACCTCTGCTCTATGGGATATCCATTTAGTTAACAGGATGCTTTAATAGTCAAAATTAGACATTCTTTTTCCCCTTTAGACGATATTAACATTTTGAATTCTTGAGAGGACACTGATGCAATCAGCACTTGTAAAAGCTGCATGGTTGACGAAATCGATGTGTGATCAAACTCCACGGAACAAGAGAACTGTTAATTTTTTGCAATATTATTCTCTTGAAGCTAAGTTTAGACCCTCAAAATAAAGTAAATTTATAAACTCTAAATATGTTTTTAAAGTCTATTGCAGTACTGCAGGAGACCGGGATTTAAATCCTAGTTGCATCAGGAAGGGAATTCAGTATTAAGACTTTGCCAAGTCAATGAACAAGTTTCAATGACTTGCTGTGGCAGAATCAATCTAATAATTAATATATTTATTTTACAGAGTTTATTATAACAACGATGTTCTGAAAAACAGATAACTTGTACAGTTTATGTTCTGAATATTCATGTAGATCTGTTGATCATAGTCTATGCTTTCCAAGGCTGTGTGGGAACCGTATAAATTAGATGTTCTCTTCGTTTCTAACATCGCCGTGGCGTTTTTCCAGCAGCCCTACAATCTGTCCTCAATGTAGTCTTCCAGACCTCCGCCTGACCTCTACTGTTCCAGCTGACTGCCATTTAATTACATTACAAACAGAGGAAACGGCTGCATGAAAACACTTCATTATCTTCAACAGCCAACTTCTGCTCCATGTGCGTCACATATTTTCATTTTCAGAGTTACAGCGCTGAAGAATGTCCCAGATATGCTTCGGACTTTATCTCCCAAGCACAAAACCTTTCATTCATTGTGTTTTATGTCCTGTGGGTTTCAACTCCATACAAAAAAAAAAAAAAAAAATCTGAACAATTTATAAGTTTCATTTAATGTTTTCAAAATGAAAAGTAAGCCAACATGCTGGAGCAAACTGGGCAGAAATGCCTGCAGGGATACCAAGTATTTCCTCTATTAATGCTTTAAAAGCCCTTGCAGACGTCGGAAACTTTAAACCCTTTGGTGAGAAAATGCATGTAGATATCTTTAACTCCACGCATGGGAATGTAACAATTTTCCATTTAGAAATGGAGATATATGAAATGCTGACATTGGCTGTCTGTAGAACAATCTGTTTGAATTTAATATTTTAATATTTTGTCTTAAATTACAC